ATCAGCTCTTCATCGAGATCGAAGAGTTTGTCCACCACTTCGCCCACTTTTACCAACAAGTCAACTGCACAAGAGAGAATGGAAAAATTTCAACAAGACTGAACATGAAGGGCAAAAATCAGCTCACAAAACGTTTATACATGTATTCAGAGTAAATTCAGTACTGAAATATACTGATTTTCTTTGTGACCTACTATGGGTTGCTATGTTTAATTCTTTTATGTGGCACAAACCACTAACAGTTTGATAAATAGGGATTGTTGGAAAGCCCACTGACATCTCCAACCTTGTCTTGCCACATGTGAAGCAAGAACTTTATTCTGGAAAGAGACTTCACATTCCTGAGAAGTCCTAATTTCTGCTTCTGAAGAAAAACTTTCCAAGATTTTTCCCTAGATATGCAGTCTGATGCCAGTCTTCCACCTGCCAATCTGCATTTTACTTAGGTAGATCTGTGGTTTCAATTGGATGAAGCAGGATTTCTGAGCATTGTCATTAATAAAAATAATTTTCTAAAAATTAGAAATCTAAATTATTAGGACTCCTTGACAAACCATAACTGCTGTTACAATTGAGTTAGATATGAAATATAAATGCTATGCAAAGTATTTGCGTTTTTGGGTGCTTGGAGTGGTTTTTAATAAATTAGTTCTAAGAGAGGTTTGCACACTACTGACTGTATACCCAAAGCCTGTGCAATATTCAGCTGCCATTCAGAGTAACTGAATCACTCCTCCAGTTACCACTCCACAAGTATGGCAGTTTTAAAAACAGTAAATACATATATTTGGAAAAAACTAATAAAATTAGTTCTTCTTTCAAGGTTCAAAAATTATACATGTATATCCCTGAACAAAGACTATGTCCTTTCCTTTCTTGTGGAAAATAACAATTTCTTCTGTTACACTTACTATGATTCCATACAGAGTTTTCTTCTTCCTCTGTGCCTGCTTTTTTGATTGGTTTTAGATATATTTATAAACCCAGAAAGGCAGGATGAGTTTTTTTGGCGTCCTTTAAATTCGTGAGGTTCCCTTTATTTTCAAGAAATTCTCCCAACTGAAAATATTTGTCTTTGAAACTGCAAACTTCAGTTCTTATTTTTTCTTCTGCAAAAGCCCACTAATTCCCAACTTGTTTTGGCAACTTACCATTGGTAGAGCTGGACATGATAAAGCAAACACAGTCATACACGGAAGGGTTTTCTCGGATTCTCTCAACCCAGACGTTGGCCACCTCAGGCTGGGACAGGCAAGTTAACAACAACCTAGACAAGAATTCCCCTTTTAATAAATTAGAAGCCAATTCAGTTCATTTCAGCTGTACAAGTGTAAATCCACAATAATGAAAATGGAGTGACAGAAACAGGAATCTACCTCACAGTAAACTGATTCCAGTTCAATGTAGAAACAATAAAAGATGAGAGGATGAGAGGATAATAAAACAGTGAGCCCATCTATCAGTTTTCTTCCCAGGCCTCAGAACACAGCAGAACTACACTAATGATGCATTAATTTCTGAGATGTCCTACCTGCTTGTTTCCAGAAGAGTTGGGGAGTCCGAATCACACAAACGCTGCAATAGCACTTGGCTTTAAGGAGAAAATACAAGGAAAAAAAGTTAACAAAATCTACCCTTGTTTAAAAAACTGGTATAAAAAGGTAATTTCATAGCTGTAGCCATGTTCTGAGATTAAAAACAGCTTTTTCTAACTACACATGCATTTTAAGTGTTTCAAGATTGCCAAACTTAGAAATCTAAGATTCAAGAACTTCACCAGTGATTAAAAAAAGAAATAATCTTTTTTCTTTCTGTATTCTTTTTTCCTTCACTGAACACTTCCCGTGGAAAAAAAAAAAGAAAGGTCAGCCAAAAAGGTGTGAATAAAGATGAAGCATGGCAGGCAAACTTAGATCCTTTTATAACATGTATTTCATGATCGTGAGTCCAGAAAAGCAGTACTTGTGCAAGTATGAAGCACATATACACTTACCCAAGATTCTCATCTTTACTAATGGACATGCATATGTCCTGGAAACAAGCCATATTTCCTAATATTCCCACGCAGATTTCCTGAAAAGTCAAAACACAGTATTAATGAGGCAACTGCAGTGTAGTCCAGGATTTCACTTCCAAAGCAGTAAGACAAAAGCAAGAGAGGTTCAAAGACAGTGGGAGCACCCATTGGGTAACACGTTTCAGAAAGGGAAAAGGCTGCTGCATGACAGCAACTGCAGCCAAAGGGAGGAGAGGGAATATGTGAGAGGAACAGCCCTGCAGGCACCAAGGTCAGTGCAGAAGGAAGGGGAGGAGGTGCTCCAGGGGCCAGAGCAGAGATTCCCTGGCAGCCTGTGGTGCAGACCATGGCGAGGCAGCTGTGCCTCTGCAGCCTGTGGAGGTCTGTGGGGATGCAGAGATCCACCTGCAGCTCGTGGAGGACCCCACGCTGGAGCAGGTGGGTGCCCGAAGGAAGGCCCATAGGAAGCCTGTGCTGGAGCAGGATCCTGACAGGACCTGTGGACCAATGGAAAGGGGAGCCCACGCTCCTCTTTCAGCAGGTTGGCTGGCATGACTTGTGACCCCATGGGGGACCCACACTGGAGCACTCTGTGAAAAACTGTAGCCTGTGGGAATGACTGAAGTTGGAGAAGTTCATGGAAAACTGTCTCCCATGGGAGGGACCCTATGCTGGAGTAGGGGGGAAAAAGTGAGGAGTCTTTCTCCTAAGGAGGAAGGAGCATCAGACACAACATGTGACGAACTGACCGCAACTCCCATTCCCTGTTTCCCTGTGCTACTCAGGGGAAGAGGGAAAGAATCAGGAATGAAGTTGAGCCTTGGAAGAAGGGAGGGGAGGGGGAAAGGTGTTTTTGAAATTTGATTTTATTTCTCATTATCCTGCTCTGATTTGATTGGTAATAAATTAAATTAATTTCCCAAGTTGAGTCTGTTTTGCCTGTAAGTGGTGAGTCATCTCTCCTGTTCTTATCACAAGCCACGAGCCTTTTGTTATATTTTCTCTTCCCTGTCCAGTTAAGGAGGGAGAGTGACAGAGCAGACTTAGTGGGCACCTCGGTGTCCAGCCAGGGTTAACCTGTCTGGACTAAACAAGTTCATGACCATTTCTGTTCAGTAATCATAAAACAAGTGATGAGAAAAAAAAGGCCAGGCTACTGATTTCTATAACAGGTCTTGTACCTAGGATTGACAAACTCAGTCCCTCATCAGTTTACATAGGTGAGGATATGTGAGCAGACTTGTATCAGCTTCAACATCACTGAAATACTGATTGCATTACTGATACCACATTAAAAACACCGCAAAAAAGCATTCTAAAATTTGATTTTGTGTTTTCTTGTGCTTCCCCTAATACATTCAAACATGCAGTGGGAGGAGAAGGAAGGTAAGAGTAAATGCAGGTACAGAACTACAGCTTTTTGACAGCCCATACTTACAGTAAGGCGAGGGCATTTTGATTTGGCAAAAACTCCCATGAATATATCGGGGGCATTGAACTCCTGAAGAAATAAAGCAACATCCTGCGGAGAAAGCGAATGGAGAAGTAAATGGACCTCGACAATTGTCAAGAGCAAAATCAAACCCTTCCTCAAGTCACAAGGACTGGATCAAAGAGATGAAAAACTCACTACAAAAATTTTATTTGCTAACAGTGAATACCAATATCATTGCTTTTCAATGAGAGAAGAGGTACTCAAGCCCTTCTGGTGATTCAGGATGCCAATGATTTGCTGTATAATGAGCCCAAAAGTCACATTTGCAAGGAGAATTTCTTTTGTTCCTTATCCCAACAGAGGGTCAGAGACACTAAGTCAGAATCCAGTAAACACATTTTAAGACATGACATCACCAACACTTAGAAAAAGAAACAAGTGAAGGGGTTGCCATTAGCACCTGATCAGACCATACAAAAGAAATTTCCTTCTCATTTTACCACATTAAAACACAAGATGAGTTCTCTATTTGGGAGTAAAGGATACATATTCCATGTTTATTTTTAAAAATCTCAACAAACCAGCAAATAATCTTATAATATATATATATAATTTGAGAATTTCTTCCAGCATTTGAGAATGTTGAGAAAAATACCAAAAAGCTGTCTTACGTCGCCACTGCAAGTCTGTCGCCAAACTTTGAAAGGTTGTCTATCTATCAGAGAAAACTATGCTTACCAGTAGGGCGCACTACAATTGCTAGAGAGAAATAAGCCTATTTCGAGAGCTGACCGAGCTCAGATGTCTCTGTGCCTTCTCCCACGTCCAGGAGGATTCTGCGGGGCAGAACATCGCTCCTACCTCGTCCATCGACATGTCCCACACCTTGCAGATGTCATTCTCCATCTCCTCGTCCAGCTCCGTCCGGGCTCCCTCGGGGCTGGCGGCGGGGTCCGGCTCCGCGGGGGCGATGACCTGGGACACGCCGGGGTGTGGGGGTGAGGGGAACACGACCCGGGCTATCCCCCCGCACCGCTCGGAAGCCGCTGTGTGCCGCGGGTGTCCCCCGGGTGTGTCTCAGGGTGAGACCCTGGGTGTCCCCCCGGCCCCGGGAGCGATCGCGCCGCACCCGCCCAGCGCCGACCGACACCGGCCCGCCGGCCCCCTCCCTTCCCGGCGCCGCCGCACCTCGATGAGGCGGGTGAGGACGCTGAAGAGCCAGTGCTTGCTGTACACCGTGTTGCCCACCGCGTCCCCCTCCTCCTCCTCCGCATCGCTGCACGGCGGCGACGGGTTACGGTCCATGGCGGCCCCACAGCCGCGCCGGCACAGCGAGGCGGCGCGGCCGGAGCGGCGCCCGCGGCCCCACAGCGCCCCCTGCGCACCGGCGGCCGTGACAGGGCCGTGACAGGGCCGCGCCGGGACCCGCCCGCCCAAGGGCCCAGCCCTTGGCAGCTCCCGTGATGCCCACACACCGCCCCGCTGCCCCCGCCCCAGCGCCCTCCCCCAGTCCCGCGGCCCAGGAGGATGGATGCTCGCAGACGAGGGGACGGTTTGCAGCTGGATTTCTTTATTCGGCTGTTCAAAGGGAGGTGTGACAGGAGCAGAGGGCACTGCCCTAGTACTTGCTGGGCAGCCCCTTGGGGCGGTAGCGGTTCGGGTCCCCGCCGCTCCGCCCCCACTCGTTCGCCTCCTGGTCCGCCCGGGTGTCCTCGGCGCCTCTGCCGCTCACGCTGCCCTGCCATCCCTCCCGGGCGTCACTGCGGGCAAGGAGAAAAGTCACCTGAACCGACCGCATGAGCTCAGCCTCGTGTGGATCTCCTCACTCACGTAAAGCAAGCTTTTCCTCAGTGCTTCTCAAGCACAGATGCAAGCACATCCCGATCCTTGTCTGAGAGCCCCCATGGAACCCCTAACTGTTACGACGGGAAACGAACCAGCAAGGTAAGAGAGTTCCTTATGACCAGAAATGCAGAGGAAGGAGTCTGCCTTCTCGGGAGGACAAGAAGAAAGGCCTCACACTCATGTGGGAGGAGAGCCACCATTCCTATAGAGACAGGCTGTCCAGACAGGAACTGCATCCCCTCCCCTCTGCTGTTCTTCTAGGTGAAAAGCTGAGTACAAGTCAAAAAGCTCTTCACTCCAGCTGGAATGCCTGGACCCCTGGTAACTCACTGTTCACAAGCCAAGCAAACTCTGTTACCTGATCACTTTTGCTGCCCAGGCACCACCAGGTCCTCTCCGGGCAGCGTCATAATTCCCACGAGCATGGAAGTATTTGTCGGCACCTATATAATTTGCCTCACGCATGTCCCGGTATGCTCTGTACATATCCCATGTTCCTGAAGAAAGCGGAGAAATAGAAATGATGTTGACTTGAAAAAGTCTCATCAGAAATAGTTCAGTACCATTTTAGCCAGGAGTTGAAAGGCCCAAGGAGCTGAAAGGCCAAAGGAGCAGTTAACAGAGAGGCACATCTCTACATCAGGCTTTGCCCACAGAAGGCACCTGTGGGGGCTGATCAAGGCCCTCTTCAGCATCAAAAACCAGCTGTGGATCTGCCATCTCCAAGGGCTGCATCCATTGGTAACGTGCTTGGGGAGGGGATTCCTAAGAGGAGGGTCTGTGGTAAGAGCAGCTTACCTCCCACTGCATCCCGGACAAATTGTCCAGCTCTGCGCAGTCCAAATCCGTCAGCGCTTGCACACAGAACAATGGAGATCAACATGAAGCAGACACAGAGCCTCATGGTTACCAGTCCAAGTCTGAGACGGAGCTGTGAGACAGAAAGATGAACAGTTCTGAAGCACCTTTGAGAGATTGCTGGCATAGCATCCACCATACCCACAGCTGTGCCAGGGCAGGTGCCCAGGGCCCCCTTCTGCCCCTTCGAGGAGTGGTGTCCTCTGTGAGACCACAAGCTCAGCTAAGGAGTCCACAACAGAGACAGATGCACATGAGAAACTTGCATTCTAGCGTTCCCTGTTGCTCCCGTCAGAGAAGCCCCCCATGCTAAAGCATTAGTCCTGTTCCCAAGTACCAGCTCAAAGCACTGCTCATAAATTCAGAATGTCACTCACCACTGCAGAAAGGGAAAGCTGAAGGAGGTGGAGATGGTCTTGTGTGCTCTCTGACTCAGAGACGGTATTTATAAGCAATTCAAATCCCTCAGAAGAGGAAACTGCAGGGGGTACCCATGGATGGGAATTCCCCACCACTACCCCACTTTAAACACAGAAGTCATTACTGGAAACCTGTCCTTGACCTTACTGAAAGTTCATAGGTCCTCTTACACAATTTTTTAGACAGTATGTGGTGCATCTTCAGCTGTCCAGGGACTATTTACTCCTCATAACAAGCAGACTCAGAAACTGCCTTGAAGACTATAGAGTTCTGTGTGCTTGAAGTGTTACACTTGACTTAAAGGTGACACCTTTTTTGGCCCTTGTGCTGGACAGAGCTTGGAAGGGAAAGTGCGTGGTTGTCTGCATGAAGCACAAGGTCAGGTCTGTGTCTGTGCACAAGCAACTGTCAGCTGCATTACCAGAAGGGTTGCAGGAACTGCTAAGTGAATTTCTCATGCACGCTGGGATGACCAGATGAATCCCAGAGCTGATGAAATAGAAAATGTGAGGTGTTGCTTTCACAGATCCTTCTCAAGGGACTTCCAGCTATCCTGCTGCAGCAGAGGTTCAGTGGGGCTTAAGGTGAGCTTAAACTAAGCAGAGCTTTTGATGCAGCAGTAAACATTTTACCTAAGGGAAAGTTCAGATCCATACAGCAACAACTCTGCTAGATTTTAAGATTGATATATTAACTGTCAGGCCCTAGTGACATGGTTCAGAGTTTGAGTACCTATTGTGCTCTCCCTGCTCAGGAGCCTGCTTGCTTCCCTTGGTTAACAAGAGACACAACCCCTCTCCCCCTGCAGAAAGCTCCAGGTTCGAGCGCAGTTGCACTGTAGAGAGAATGTGCAGAAAGTCTCCCTGTTGTGTGGTCTCAGACATGATTTAACAAGTCTAAGAGAGTGTTTTACCTTCTCCTCAGAAGAGTTACAGGTAGTTGCCCAGTTCACAACTCTGTCACTTTAAACAATTCACTGCTGGAGCTGCAGAGCAGAGGCATGAGGCGCAAGGGGTGCAACGGAGCTAATGAAGTGCCATCAGGCAACCTTCCTTGGGCATCGCTGGACTTCAGCCAAGAGTTCTGCTTAAGAGGATACATTTTCCACAGACCAGCCTGGAGCGGCAGAACAGATACTCTATGGTACTCTGTATCTCTGAATGGAACAATGTGCACTGAGAATCTAAACTCTAACCCAATGGACAACGGAACCTTGCAAAAAGAGGAGGCAGATACATAATTTTGTCCCCTGCCAACCATGAACCCAGTACTTCCCTCTGTAACAACAGCTCAGTTACTGCAGGAACTATGTTTTGCTGCAACTCTGTTCACATCCTAGTCACAACCTATGTTGCAACCTATGTCCTTACAGTGCATGATTGCTCAAATTCCTTCTCTACTAGCTGCCAGTGGCCCTGTCACCTTTTCATTTTTAAAAAACAAAAAACCAAAACCAAAACAAACAAACAAAAACCCAAAACAAAAACAAACAAAAAGGACCAACACACCAAACCCTGGAAAATTACTCCTGTAAGTTGAAGTACAGGCATGTGCCATTTTGCTCGGGGACCTAGAACAGCGCATAACTGACTTCATAACTGACTGACGGTATTTTTTCCTACAAGAGCTCAGACATTTTGGACTATAGAGGATATTTCTGAATCTTATGCCCCGTTTCACATTCTCTCCAAACCAACATTTTCTGCAAAGAGCAAAACGTAAGAATAATTGCAAGAAAGTATTTTCTGGAGGGGACCTGAGTGTATTCTCTGGACTCCTCTCCAACAAGGACAGCAGTAGTGACAACAGTGCAGGAGCTCCCTATGGTAACCGAGATAAAGCTCCAGCTTTGTCCTCCAGCAGGGAACAGCCTGAGCTCCGCTTTCCCGTATCCTCTTGGCCTGCACTGCAGGTCACAACCCCTGGCTCACAGAAACAAGCTGCAGCCAAAACTGCTGCTTGCGCAACAGAAACAGCCAAAGCTGCCTCTGAGCATGGAGAAGGGTCTGAATGAAGTATTTCTTTCTGGCCCAGCAATAAAACTCTGGCTGTGTGTGCACACTGGGAAACAACACACTGAAGGGTGCCTGGAGACTGTTTACTGGTGTAATCCTGATGTAATTAAGATAAAAAGCAACCCCATACTGGTCACCCTTTAATTCTAAATATCTACAAATGCAAGCTATGTTCCACAAACATTCCACAATTCTGCAATCTAAGAAAGATTGAGAAATAAGGTGAATTCCCAGCTAAGGCCCAATCATAGATGCAGTTATTCGTTATTCTGGGAAGGAACAGTACACTATTTAAGTTTACATGTGCAGTAATTCACCTCAGGAGTTTTGCCATGCTCTTGCATAGAATATTTACTAGCATTGACCTCAAGTTTATAGATGCAGAACAACTGCAAACTTGACTCCTTTCAAGAAACAGATTGAAAATGCAGATATTTATCTGAAATAAAATTTATTTGGCCCAGACGTTTTGATGATGATTCTAATAGTGAAATAATGTTTGAGGAGGGTACGATGCTTTTCTCTTTCAAAAAAAGGAAACCACCACCACCACAGTTTCTATTTAAAGCTGCTCCAGGCAAAGCCCCCTTTATTCATCTCTGCTTTTTAAGGCCTTCTTCCACCATCAGTCACCCACAAAAGCCAAGGATGAGCTACAGCTCATCTGCCCCAGCACAGACCGGCTCGAGCCATCAGTGGTGTGTGCTCAGCTGGCTGACAGAAGCTGGTTTAGGGGCCACAGCTTTAGGAGGAAGGCCTTTGCTCTGTGCAGCTGCAACTTCTGAACAGAAGACCATTTAATTTCACAGTCCCTTCACCTTACCCATATGAGATGAAAACAAGCTCATCCAGAATAGGAAAAAGTGATTCTCCAACTCTTCTTTGGAGAGTAAACTCTTTATTGACAGCCAAGTTAGTGGAAATCATCAACACAAGCTCACTTTAGACATGAAATTTGAAGAAACTCTTCCCATTCTGTTACCTGTATGACCACTCTGACACAAAAATTGGCTCTAACCAGAAAAGTATTGGTTTATTGTAAAAAAACCAAAAAACCCCAACCCACACTCAAAGTTTTAACCAAGTATATAAAACCCCCACAGAAGTAAGCAAAAGACTGATGTGTACACAAAATACAAGGAGCAAATGGAACCATTACATATGGAGATAAGCCAGGTACATTCTCAGAAAGCCAGGAATTCCTGTAAGGAAGGCAGTAGGAGCACTCAGCTACAGCTGCATGAACTGTGTTAAGTAAACAGGACAGGCACTGAGATAGCAGCACCTCACCTGGCAGGGAAGAGAACAGTCACCAACAACATCTGGCAGGTGCCTGGCATCCATTCTAAGTCTTACTGTAAGGGCATGGGATGTTTCTGATGGCACAGATCCTTCTATTTCCAGTGTCACAATCTAAACCCCAAAAGACTTAAAGTTTTCTTTCTGAGAAATAGTTCTGAATTGGCTTTTCCACAAGCAGCACTATTAATGGATGAAAGCCTGACACTAATTGGCTCCCTGTAACTTCACTTTGTCTAGTGAAATAACCTACCCTCCACACTGAAATCTTTATTGACATCAAGATGAAATAATCAGACTGGATCTCTCAAAAAGCTGAAAGCTGTATTATTAACTCCTATTTTGATGAAAAGCATTATAAAGGTGCTTTATAAAGAAATATTTTCAAGTAATTTCATAACAACATTATCAATGTTAATAAAATTTAGTTCCAAAGAATGCATTAACTTTTTCCTTAAATGACATGTGTGAAAATCAAATACTGACCAGATACTGTTTGCCCTCTGCTAAAAATATGAGTCTGGCAGTGATGAGAGTCAAAACCAGAAGCCTAAAAAGAAACTTAATCAAAGGTGCATTAAATGCAGAGTGCTGGTACAAGGCACAGTTCTGTGAGATATAAAATCCGAGTAATTTTATTATTCTTCATATTCTACCAGGTATGTAAAAGACATCTTTCTTGACAGCATCCATCTAAAAATACCCATCTAAACCTTCAGCTTTTAAAAATATTAAAAGAAGACATGTGGTCCTCTCACTTTCCAAAATGTCAGAATTAACTGTTGAATTACCAAAGTTGACCTGGACTTCAGTAAAACCTTTTGACGCAGTTTCCCACAGCGTTCTCCTGGAAAAATTGTCTGCTCATGATTTGGACAGGTGCACTGCTCAGTGGACAAAAAACTGGCTGGATGGTTGGGCCCAGAGAAGGGAAGGAAATGGAGTTAAATGGCGTTAAATCCAGCTGGTGGCCAGTCCCAAGTGGTGTTCCCCAGGGCTCAGTACTGGAGTCAGTCCTGTTTAATGTCTTTATCAATGACCTGGCTAAGGGGATGGAGGGTACCCTCAGTTTGCAGACAAGTTGGGTGGGAGTATTGATCAGCTGGAGGGCAGGAAGGCTCTGCAGAGGGATCTGGATAGGCTGGATCGATGGTTTGAGGCCAGCTGGATGAGGTTCAACAAGGCCAAGTGCTGGGTCCTGCTCTTGGGTCACAACAACCCCACATGGCACTACAGGCTGGGGGCAGAGCAGCTGGAAAGCTCCCCAGCAGCAAAGGACCTGGGGCTGCTGGTCGACAGCTGGCTGAACACGAGCCAGCACTGTGCCCTGAGGGCCAAGAAGGCCAATGGGCATTGATGTCTTAAGATACATATTATATGGATTTCAGCATAGCTTTTTAGCACTTTTGACATGGTTTGATGGTGCCTTTGGCCTGTTAGTACCTTTGTACAAGGCTTTCTAAAAATGTTGTTTAATATTTCTTGCCAAGAGTTCCAATGGACAAAGATTGTAGCAAGGTAAAGAACATTTTATCTGTAGAAAATGTACTCAGAAAACAGCCATAACAGGCACATTGCTTGATATAAATGAGTCAAAGCTGTTCATAAGCCTTGGAACGTTTCCAGAAGGAATGCTACCAAGGAACAAGATGAGGAAGAGAAAGACAAGAAGCGTGTCTAAGGCGGGACGAGGGAGTGTCCAGTTCTGGGCCCCTCACTACAAGAAACTGAGGTGCTGGAGCGAGGCCAGAGAAGGGCAACAGAGCTGATGAAGCATTTGGAGCACAAGTCCTATGAGGAGCAGCTGAGGGAGGTGGAGTTCTTTAGCCTGGAGAAAAGGAGGCTCAGAGAAGACCTCATCACTCTCTACGACTACCTGAAATGAGGCTGGAGCCAGGTGGGGGTAAGTTCCTTTTTCCCAAGTCAAAAGTGATAGGACAAGAGGAAATGGCCTCAAATTGCACCAGGAGACATTTTATTTGGATATTAGGAAAATTTCTTCACCAAAAGGGTTGTCAGGTACTAGAACAGACTGCCAGGTTGAATCACCATCCGTACTGAGGCATTTTAAAGTTGTTTATATGTGGCACTTAACAGACATGGTTTAGTGGTGGACTTGGCAGTGTTAGGCTAACATTGGATCTTTAGGATGTTTTCCAACTTAAATGACTCTGATTCTGATTCCACTGGCCTGAGGTTTGTTGGAATATCACAACTGATGTCTACAGTCATATTGCACAAACAGATATGGGCAATATAGAAATATCATGCTTGTAGTTTAACAGTTTTTCTGTTCAACAGTATTTTTAACCATTAATCCACTACTGAAAAGTATTTCCCTCCCATTTTAAGACTTGGCTCAATTATTGTATTTCAAATAGACCTGTCTGTATAATTTAAGGGGGGGGGGAAACAAAGGGTACCATAACAAACACTTCTACAACAACAGTAAAGGTCAATGCAATTTACAGGAAAGTTAAACAAGTATGGGCTTAGATATTCCCCAGGAATGGTTTCTCATGTTTGCAAACAAAGAAACAAAAAAATTTTATATACCATAATTTAATACTTAGGGGCTCATATCCCTAAACACTTAAGTCACAGACTCAGAAAATAAATTCAGGAATTTTCATCTTGGAAATCTGTGAGCCTAATTTCAAGATAAATACTGGATTGTTTTAACTTAAGTTCTAGAGTTCAAAACTCATCTCCAAAGGAATAAGGAAGAATTGTCACCAGTTCCTGTTCAGATACCTGCCAGATGGAGACTGGCTCAGTATAACTGAACTTTTAGACAGAAGTTCATTTCTTTAAGGGCCTGTGAAGTTTAAGAGGCACTTTAATTTACAATCATTACATTAAAAAATGTTCCCAGAGTTTTCCAAAGTTGTTTTCTATGCTTGCTGAGACCACAAAAACCGGTCACACCTTTCCAACATTGACTGAATCAGCGCTCTGCAATTAAAACAAAGGAGAAAAACAAAGATTAAATGATAAAAAAGCTAGCAACAGAAAGAACAACAGTTTTAGTTTGCTTTTAAAAGAAAAGTTTGTAAAAAATGTGACTGCATTTCAGAAGTAGCATCCTGATCACCACGCACGCCTTCTCTGGAAGGAATAGGTGAGATCAGAGTCTGTGCAGGACTCAGCAGGACACATCTCCTTCAGAGAATCTCCTTTACATGCATCTTTAATGTACGATTTCCTGTTTCCTTATTTTCAATTTTAGAATGCCTACACTGCAAAACACATAGTTCTTAAATAATAGGAAAGCTTTCACCTCAGCCTAAAATCCAAGGTAAAAATGTGAAACACTTCACGCTCTTGTTAACTGAAAAGAAAGTTTAAAGCACAGAGGAGATCCAAAACAAAGAGTGGGGATCTTCCGTTGACACATCTCTTACCTCTGCCTCTTCTCAGCAATTCTCAGTATCTCACAGACACCAGTAAATCTCTCAGACAATTCTGCTGTCAAGCCACACTCCTGCAAGAGAGGCAAGGCACGACTGGGGCCGATGGCCCTGGCCAGCAACAGAGCCACATTTTCCACAGTGATGCAGTCTGGGCAGCTCGGGCCACCATTGCTGACGGCATTCCCGTTCTGTTGGCCGTGGTGGTGCAAGGCTGCGCTGTGGTTTTGTGCAAGATGCAGAAGAAACTTCCACTCTTCTATGGTCTCCGGAATGCAACCTGGATGTAAAATGAGTTTGTTATGTTATTTGTAAACCAAGGATTACTCTAAGCCTGCTACTTTAATTATATCTGTTGTAAAAGGGAGGCTAGCGGTTCTGGTTTACACTGGGGAGATTTAAGAAAACCGAATGTTATCAACAAGCAAATTGTGCACAGAAATGCACTGCTTTGACTGACCCAGTTTAAAGATCTAGTGGTGAACACACAAAGCTTCACAATAGTTCAGTATTTAAGGCTTTGGATTAAGTCAAGAGTCACAGTTTTGTCCATCTTAGGGGTACAAGGAATTTTCTTGTAAATTCTGCCTTGTGATGCAATGCTTTGCTCACCCTAACTTTGGGTGTGCCCACATGCAGTGTGGGAGTTTGGTGCTGTGCAGGAAGGCTTGCTATTCTTCTGTCTACAACACCAAGTTTAGCTTTTACTCCCAGCTGATACACAACTCTACATTCTTGAACTTTTAAGCATTTTTTTAGCACAACTGATTTCACAAAGCACAGTGTGAAGATACAGGACCGCAACATCCATTTATGTGTTTCAAATATGCAGTTAGGGCTACCAGAAAAAAAAATATTACAAGTTCAACTCAGCTTTGGGCAAATCACTACACACAGGCAGTTCCTAGATTACAGAAGCTTAAGAATCACTAACCATCTTCTCCATTCAACAGGCTCAAATCATCCAAATGAGCAATATTAGTAAAGGCTTCTATTCTTCTATCCAGCTCCAGACAGAGAAAAAGATATCCAGGCCAAAATCTTGAATAAGAGAGTAAAGATTTCCAGGAATCAAATACTCAGTTTAAACCAAAGTCAAGAACAATTACACGCTCATTTAAGTACCAGTAAAGACAGGAGCAACTACATCTCTTGAATGCCAGAAATAGAGTGGGGACATGGTGAATACCTTCTCAACCAGAAGGGGTACTTAGTACATTAAACTGGACACTCAATATTCATCCTCAAAAACTGAAAATTTTTAAAATAAACACTGTCCAGTTAAGAAGCAGGCAGGTAATTTTCATTTGCATCTTTTTGGGGTCAGAATACCAACTCACCAAACATCAAGAATTACCAAGTCTTCTCCTTACCCATGTGATTTACAGATGTGAGCCATCTTCTCTTTTGTAGCAAAATCAGCTGGGAGTTTAATCAAAAGCAGAATGAGCTGGCTGTAGCCCCAGGTAAACAAATGTGATCGTGGCCTAGAAGATGAGAAATTAAGTTTTAAAGCATTTTTAAATTTCTTCAGAACATTATGGCAGGTATATGAAAAGAGAGGAGGAAAAATGAATGAAACAGCATGCGCAGTCACTCTGAAAAGCATTACAGGTAACTTATTCAACCCTTTGGTTGTCTCTGCTGAAATCTGCAACGTGCTCCAAGGAGACAGTGACATCTGAACTGTCATACAAAATCTAAGCCAAAAGACTGCAAATCTGTTAAAGCTTTCTGTGGCATTCAGAACCTTGGGTGAAACCCACCTTACCTGGGATTTCCTTCTGCATCCACAGTATTTGCTCTTTGTGGAGCATCATGAGAAACTGCCAAGCACAGCCAATCCAACCGTAGAGATTCGGGCTGCAGAAGAGATCGAAGGAGAGATGGCCTAGAAAACAAAGCACACAGAAAAAATCCTACCAGTTTTAGATACACCAGATATGGAGAAGCAGAGTGCGTATGGACAAACAACAACAACAAAGCTGTAAAATGAAATGCAGAGAGGCATAAAATGGTTTATGTTTTTGTTTGTTTGTTTGTTTTTAAACGCTAACATTGGTATATCGAACTGCAGACAGAAACAAAAAGTGAGTGTCATTAAAAGTATTATTTAGGAAAACCCTCTTAAAATAAGAATCTAATCTAACAAAAACTCCAGTCTGATACCACCTAAAACTGGCAAATTAATTGGAACCTAATGCTAAAGAACACCAAGCAGACAGATACAGAAACATTAAAAAAAACCCCAACAGCCAAAACCAAAAAAACCCACAGAACTACATGATGAAGAGAGCAGAAAATGAAAAAAATGCTGTATTTCCTTTACCTTTTATCCTCTGGTTTTGATTTCACCAGACTGTCTAAATATGCTAAGAAGTGAGCTGGATCATTCCTGCAAAGCTGTTTAATATCAGAAGGCAAAATAAAGGGGTAGAATTTGATCAAGGGCCGAAGAGCTGTTTCCCCAAATTTTTCATAAAGCCTGGAAAGAGAGGATAAAAACTATTTTCAGAACCAAACAGCAAAATAATCATTTTTTCAAGACGTCTTGCAAGTTCAAGGCAGTAATGAAAGGTGATCTCTCTAAGAGATTCCCAGAAATCTTCATGAAATGTTAAGCAAACCAATTCCTGCTTGCAAGTTAACCACTGTGAGGAAAAGAAAGGGAAGATCTGGGTACAAACCTTTGAGCATGTACTAGTAACAGCGGGCTGTCATCCCACGGCCCCAGGTCATGCAGCAGCTTCAGTATTTTCAACATATCTTCACCCTCCATTGCTAAAGCCACCGGACTGTGACAAGTTAGTTCTGAAATAAATAAGTGCACAAGTTACAAGATATGGGCAAGGCTTTTTTTCTTAACACATACACCACCCACTACCCCCCCTCTTTTTGTCCTTACACTGAACAACAGCTACCACTGCCTTCATGGAACTCTCCAGCTAACAGCAGTAACAAGGGAGCAGATCCTACTTGTTCATTCACAGGAAACAACATCACTACTCTGTGCTTACAACAAATTACAGTTATAAAGCAATTTGGTAATTCTTGATACAATTAAGGCATGGAATAATACTCCTGATGTATTTTCCTCTCCTTTAGACTTCTGAGGAGGTAATTTTTCTGTCATGTGAAAAAAGGAAGCCCACAGCAGGATGTATGGCTTGCTGAATACAATACAGATCTGCATCAGTTCTTACATATTACAATTCTCTTCTATTAATAAATAAAAACTGCAGCTTGAACACTGACTTAATAGAACACAGAATTCAACACAAAGCTCAACCCTGATGAAATGCAGATATTAATCTATAGGCACAAGTGCAGCCCAACTAAGGACAAACTGGGAATTCATACATTACTTTCACTTCTAAGGCTCTCAGAATCCAAACAGTGAAGAGATTCCCAGAAATCCAAATAGCAAGATACCAACCCTCAGAGCAAGATTTTGTTGTTTAAATATTCTCTGTTGGAGCCAAATCAATACCAAGACTTTAATGCACTCTTAAATATATACAGCAGAAGCTAAATGCAGAGAACAGAAAAGTTCTTGTTTCCAATGAAATCATAAAGCTCTGGTTCAATAAGATCAAAGAGGTATCAAAAACATTAAAAAGCATTTCTGTGGAACAAGGAAGTTCAAGGTGATCACAAGCCACTCCTTTGCATGAAACCATTCACTCCATTCAGTTTTGTTTCACATTAACCACATTCCTCTACAAGTTGAATCTTTCAGTGCAAATGCTGAAGCCTCTCCCCTCACTTTTGCCTTGTTTTTACAGACGCGATTCTAATTAAGATGGTTTTGCTCTTTGAAGCGGGTATATTTGTTTGTAAATAGATCTAGGCCGTGATCACTCCAGAGTTCAATCAACAAGTTCCATGCAAACTAACAGGTTCAAAATTGCAAAGTGGGGGGAAGGCAGAACAGTCTCTCCAAGGAATCAGCAGTTCTTCCTAAATTAGTCCTGGGGGGAAAAAATAATCAACCAAACAACCCAAACCCAGGACAAACACTCCCACACACCAACCATCCTCTCCCACTCACCTTCTGCACACCTGCAGAAGGAAAAATTTGCAGGCACAAATTTGTGTGTCTTCAATCTTTTTTTTTTTCCTCCCAAGCAGTCTTACTTTCAGCTTAAGAAGCAACACAACTTTCATTAGTTACCTTTCAATCCTGCGATGTACGTTTCCCATACATTAGGACTGGCTGCATATGTGGTTATAATACACTGCTTGACTCTTTTTAAATCCAAAAGAAAGAAGTATCTTTGCATAAACCTACAAGCCAAGGTCCATGAAGCTGCCTGAGGCAGACTTCCATCAGAGCCCTCCTCAGCATCACCACTTCCACGAGGAAAGACACGCAGCTCAAAACACAGCGTTGTCAAGTCCACAAGATCTTTCCGAACACCCGTTTCTAGGACACACGGGGGAGACACTTGAAAGCCGCCGTCCAAAAGTCCTCTCGAATCAGTACCATTTTCACACATGGTTTGGCTTACACAAGTTTCATCAGTGTTTTCCTTTTCAGTGCAGTCTTCCAAAATATTACTTTGTTCCTTGTCCACTGGGTCTCCATCAGCTGGAGGCAGTCGCAGGTTTTCCTCCACGGCTGCCCTCTGTTCTTCAGCACACACAGCCTTGCTTTTCTTGGAAGACAAAGCAGAATGGTCTTTGCTGCTGAATTTTTCTTCCAGATAGACAAGCCATTCCTGTAAAACCCTTCTCATACACTGAGGTTCTAATAAAACCTGGGGATCCTGGAGTTTGGCTCTGCAGTAGAAGAAAAGGTTTTCCCAAGTTTAACAGTAGTAAAATGCCCAAGCGAATCATTGTACGTGCTCTGTGTAACCCAAAGCATACTCCTACCCCTGACTAGTGTCAGTTGTTGTTATTTTGGGGTTTTGAGTGCATCAAACAGACTTAAGGCTACTTATCACTGTCTATGTTTGATCTCAGTACATTCTGAGTTCCCCAAGACTTCCTTCACAATGGGTTTTTGTTTGTTGGGTGGCTTTGATTTTTTTAAACTGTTCTTGTAGTTAGGACAAAAGGATAATGCTAGAGTACCTAAATAAGCTTTTAGTGGGTTTTGCTTGGTTTTAAAAAGAGGAATCAAATCATTCATCATATTAAATCCTTTCAGGTTATGTTAATAGACATTTAGAGCATTACTCTTGCATGCACATAATGAATGAAAAACCCACAGAATTTAAAAAAACAGTCATTTTTTTTCTACCAAAGCCTAATATATCTATACACTAAAAAGTCTCCCTGCTTACAAAGCTTCTGCTGTTGCAGCCTTGAGATCTCGGAGACGGTCCTCCTCAGGAAGCTGGCAGCTCTGTGGTTCTAACCTAGAAAAACAGAGTCATTTCAGTCTTATCCGAAACATTATCATTAATAATTTAAGTGAGGACTTCCTCACAGATTTTCTCATTATTTCCACATTAATTCCTTTATTAAATACAAAGCTTTAATTTTTAAAGAAGGAACAGCTCAACAGAAATTATGGATAAACTGAGCATGAAGAACTACAGTCTCTTTTTATGGCCTTCTGTAATGGCTTCTACTCCAACTACAGTAGATTTCTGCAGGTACCGAATAAAAACCAGTAGCATACTACTGTATGAAAGTTAGTCCAAAATGGTAAATTAGCATTGGAATATGAAGTAACTTAACTCTGTATTAAAAACAAATAAATAAACCCCAAATAAACACAACCCACATAAACACAAACCAAAAGTGAAATATATCTTCAGGGAGCTAAAAGTGCTTACTCGCCACTCAGAAAGGACAGGAAACGAACTGATGGACTCATGTCCAACGAGCATCACAGATCCATTATCTGAGAATACACCATGTTCATGTTCTTAAGTCATTGCAGCACTGTGCAGACTGCATGATCCAACAGCCAGCATCAGGGAGAACCAGTGAAACCCACTACAGTAATGAAGGCAGCTGGAAAAACCTAATGCTGAGTTCCTCATTCTGCTTGAAACAGTAGTTTTTCCCTAGGTTGCTCTCCTCAGGACACTCAGCAAATGCAATTGCTAAGAAAACGCGATTTTGCACTCACTCTTTCTCTTCCTGGGGAGACACTACCAGACTAGCAGTCAGCTCTGGCAGCTGCTCATCATCCTTGGCTTCTTGCCTCCCTCTGGTATCAGGACTTATATGAAGTGTGCCAATCTTCTCTGTAGTTTTGCGTACAAAGCTGGAAACACTGGGAATCAGAAGTTCAAACGTTTAAAACTGGAAGTTCAAAGGCGAACAAACCAAGCACTTTCTTTTCACTCACACCATCATTTCAGAAAACTTTATGATCTGAAGAACTCTTGAATAAAGGATGAGAGCAGTGATGACCAACAGGAATAAATCTCATTAAGAATCTGCTCAAAATTCGTATTTTAGTCATGATCCATAGTTTCAGCTCTGAAGTATTCAGCACTTGGAATTTTTTCAGCTGGAGAAACAGGATCATGTACTAACATTAGTGCATAGATTTTGACATGTATTTGTATGTCAATAAATGCAAACTGACTGCACTGCATTTTAAAGCTTGTAAACAGAAAGCACCTCAGGAAATTATGTTCCTCTTGGTGGTAAGAAACCATTTTACAGTGCTCCAAATTAATTCTTCAGATTACAAGCTCATCAATAATGTCCTTTTCACATCATCAAGCCCCAGCCCTTTAGGTATTTTATTTGAGAGAAAGCTCAATGAAAATACCAGAACCCAATTATTTCTACCACTCCCATGAAGAGAACTATGCCATCAAGATTTGAACAGAAAAATTAGCTTCCTGCTTTCTGGTCCAGAATTAGTTTAAGATCATCAAGGGGAAAAAAAAAAAAAAAAAAAGGCATCTTTTGCTAAAACAAGGTATAGCAAAAGCCAAAAGTTGCTGCAGAAGACAGAAAGGGTTCAAACGTAGCAAACCAATTGGACTTTAATGCTTAGAAGGATTAGAGGTGAACTTTTAAAGATTAACTGTAAATATGATAGTATTTAATTTAATTTTAAATTGAATGCAGTGAATACTTAAAAACTTAGCTCTCATTATAAGCAGAAACACTTATTACTAGTAAAGTCCTAAAAACCATTAAGGTTTGGAAAGAATTCAAAACACTGCATGTGTATTTGTGATAGTTATTCTGATATCCTCACACTTTTGGTATCAGCTACAAAGTTTTGTTTCAGGACACAATTCACATACCACAGTGATCAAGACAGGACTGCAATTTTTCAGACCACTGCTGTGGGCCAGAGACATTTTAGCTCAGTAATTAACATACAGAACTTTTATCAAAATTATGTATTTAACACCATGTCCTTTATATTTGTACACGCTCCCATTTTTGGGAGTTTTTACATAGCAAATTGATTTCTGCATAAAATGGATGCTACCAGATTTACTTGTACCAGGTATGATCTACCATTATCCCATAAACCTCTGGGGAATTGATTAAATTCACTGAAGAGTGCGTGGGGGACATGACAGACTACTTTGCAAGTATGTTTTAGCAATTTCTACCTGATTTGAATATTTTAATGTTTGCCCGCAAGCAACATAGGGAGCCTTCGCTCATGCTTTAGAAATGCAAGTCCCAGGAAAGCAAGATCCCAAAAAGAAATAGTCAGTAAGTTTCCTTTGCATACAAACCACAACCACAGCTTACAGGATAATGTTAAACATTCTTAGAGACATTTAACAATTATTAACTACTTAAAAACCAAGGTTGAAATCTCAGCTCCGCTGCAGTCAACAGCAGCGCTGTGAATCTTCATTAAAGCCAAGATGCAAGATTTAAATTGCCTGGCAAACCTGACTGCATGTCCAGTGTTCCAGTTCAGAAACACAACATGAACTAAACCACACAATGCTAAGAATTCAGAGGACAGAACAGGGAAAGATGCAATGGATGAGTGAACCTGCTGCATGCTTTACCTTTCTTTGACAGCTTGGACGAGAGGAGATGGGGAACGAAATGACAAAGGAATATTGAATGGGAGAAATGTCTCATTCCGGTCAGCCTCAACCACCACTGATGCATGAGATACGCTGTCTAACAAATGGAATTGAAATAAAAAGTCATGAAACAGTGGCCTGGTAAAAAATGGAACAGTGAAATGAACTGCAAGTCACTAATTCATTAATGGATAATCTGCATGCAATACTTTTCTACTTAATATTCCAGAATGTGGGGAGCCAGGTTTCAAGGGCCAATTTACTACTGACTTTGAACCTAGTAAGTTTGCTTTATTAAGATTGTTTTGGCTCTGTAGCAAGACAAATAATGATCAACAACTGTATGAAAAATATCTTCTAAAAGTAGACTTACAGTCCATTTAAGACACAAAATCTTGATATAATCCACTGACATTTATACATCTAAGAAAACTAAATATTGTGGCTCACATCAATTCACCTTGCATGATGTCCAAAATCTAAATCACAGTGAACAGAGAGACACACATAAGCCATGGTTAAGGCATAAATCACCCTCTTATTTGAATGAATTTGAATGAACTTAAAAATATAAGTGAGCCCACAGCTCTCTGCCTTTTGATAGGAATCAGAGAAAATACAGAACCACTGACCATTTCCTATTCACTCTTATATCCCTAACAGCATCTAAAATGTGTTTTTTAATCATTTCCTGGTACAAACACACTGTATCTAAGTGATGTAAATAATAAAAAAAAAAAAGACCATTTTAAGCAAGGATGACACTGCATTTTTCACCAGTCAGCAGTAACCACAGTGTTGAGAGGAAATAACACTATGCTGTTACAGAAATTCTACCATCAGAATCCACAGTCCCTCTTGACAGTGCCTAAAGGTCGAGACTGATTTTACAGTTGCTTGCAAATAAGGCTGCTTTTGTTCTTTATGCAGACTAGAAACCTAAAAACTTATGACATCTTACGTCAATGCGAGCAGGGAAACATTGAGCCCATTTCTTTAAAATACCAAATCAAGTACACGTGTTTCAATAAACATCTAAAATGTCTCTACTTGGAAATCAGCAACAATTTGTTATCTCTTGTGGAACAGAGAATTCTTCTATCTTCTGACAGTCGAGAACTAAGTCCCTTCATTTGCAAGTTTTAATATTGGAAATGATACACTCCCAAGTTTTCTCACTTGTTTGTCCGGTGATTGTAGCTTAGTCAGCTACTAATGACAAGTCATACTCATGACAAGTAGGAGAATAAACACCAATTTTTATACTCTCCCTCCCCACTGCGTATTTTTTCCACAAAGCATCCAAGTTCTCTCCATCCTCCTCTGGCATCTACTCTCTGCAAAAGCTAAAAAGCAGCCATTTACTTGGGAAGTCTGTCTACCATATGTGGAACTAACCCAGCTCCTCATCATCCCAGGTTTTTGCATTCCCTCTCAATCCCAACCAGTAGAGAGAACTCTTTACTGTCTCACTCCAGCTTTACTCCAGTGACACACATTTGTCAGGAAATAAAAAAAACTCCCTGGATGGGCTACACGAATGTTTACACATGTAAGAGATGATCCCCTGTACAAATGAAACCCTGCAAGCACATTAAGAACACTAATCAGAAGCCTATTGCTTTCCCTGAAGAAATATAAAACCAGAGCCAAGATTAAGAAATTCTTTCCTAGGACAAATATTATGGAAGGATATCGGCAGCAAACAAATCTTCTTTGAAGCTCAATTAACACTGGCATAGACATGAAGGAATCCTAGCATTAGTGCTGAATTACACGTGGAAGTGGGGGAAGCTGGAGTGAACTCCTAGCCTGGTAAAAGCCCTCTGGATCTTCTGCTTTGTTTGCTTTTAAGCTTGGATTTCTATGGAGCCAGCTTTTCAGCTCAGTGTTTCAAAAAGGATTTTGACTGGAAGGTGGGGTGATTGTTCCCACCGGTCAAATTAGAAGACTTAATAATGACTAACTTGATAGCATAAAGTGAAAGCACAGAGCCAACCCAACTGAATTCTTATAGAACAAATAAAAAAATCACATGGACCCCCCATATTTTCATTAAGAAACAAGTACCAAGGTCTACTTGCTCATCTTCCTGGTGTGCAGGAAATTCTTTAAGTCTCTCATCTTCTGAGAACGTTTGACTGTGGAGAGAACACGAATCTTCATCTGACTGACTGCCTCTCCGACTGATAACACGGTATATTCCAGAGTCCAAAACACTGAAGCTTTCCTGTCAGACAAGGGCAGAGGAGTTACGACATCATGCGAGTTGTACTTCCTTATTAACACCTTGCAATGAACTCATCCAACCATACCCACACAAATAACATCATAGCACTTCATAATTCACTGTTTGCAAAATCCTTACCAATGTATTTTTTACCCGTCCAGAATGGAAGAGGACACAGGTGCCAAGAAGCGTGCAGTTCAGTGACTTGAAAAAGACGCGTATGCTGCAATTGCTTTTGGGAAGGCAGTCGGTGAAACAACTGGTGTGCTCAGCACAAGGCAAAAGCCATCTCAGCTTTAGTCCTGCGGCTAAGACTGTCACTTCACCCCTTCTTGCCTGCATGCCCAAGAGTCTGTGCTCTTTTTGCTGGTTAGCCACACCCAGGCAGCACAGACCATGCAGAACTGTTTAGTTCCAGGACACACACACATTCTTTTGCTCGTGGTCGGTCTACAGCATTTACCTTCCCATTAGCTAATGAAAAAATACCACATCGAGATGGTATTTACATTACTTGGCTTTTTAGACCTTACTTTTTAAACATTGTTAAAGCAAAAGCAGCAGCTGATACTGTATTAACTATGAAGTATTTCCCCTTTCTTGAAAAGCTGCTGGGAAGCCAAGGCAATGCAAAGCAGTTGTACATGTAAAAAAGTATTAGAAATATGCTGTGTAAGAGTATTAGAAATATGTTTTGATTTTTTCCTTAGAACTTTCTGCTTAAGCTTCATACAGTAAGACAATTTTTTCAACAGGGCTAAGACAGTTCTAAACATTCAGACATTCAGTTTTCACCACATAAAACTACAGTTACAACCAAGATGATCTTTATTGAAGCATGCTAAGACACCAAGCTCAGCTGTAGAGAAAGCCCTCTTCATATCAATCTTTTTTTTGCATCTCAGTCACTAGCCCCAAAATAATATGGAAAAGAGGCAGAAGTCTGAGAGCTTACAAAATGCAAGTAATGGTGTTTCACACCTCTTCACCCCACCTAATTTTAGAAAGTAGCATTATAAACTCTAATAGACATGGTAAAAATGAAAGCCTCATCTTCAAAGAGACCAACAAGGTGATCTTAAGCCATAAAGATAAAACCTGTAGATAACATTTTTAGCCCTACCAATACACTTACATGAGATGAGATACTGCTCCTTCTACTGCTGCACGCAGAATCTAGAGGTTCCAACTTGGAAATCAGTTCTTCCATTTGCATAGTGAGATCTTGTTGGGTTGAGGCATCCAGTTGAGACTTCAAGTGCTCTAGCTTGTCTAGAGGCAAATTTTTTCTTGCCTAGAAGTACACAGTGACACAGAAGCATTATTATTTCTAATGCACACACGAAAAGCAAAAAGTGCCATATATGCAGGCTAATATTCATCCTAAAAGTACAATACTTAGATGACTTTAAAAACTCCAACAAAATGATTCTCAGTAATCTATAAAACTTAATGGAAGGGGGACAGGAAAGACAGTGAAGTTGCACTGAACATTTACAAAGAGATGTTTACTTACTCTGCAAGAAATAATTGAATTTTGGAAGAGACAAGAGACCCTGGCAGCAAGGGTCCAGAACCCTCTTCTCATCAGACGCTCCACGCAGCGGTCGACCAGCAGAAGGGACAGGTGCACAACTTTTCCATTTGTATGCAGACAGAACAACTCGCTCTTGTAAACTGCAATATCCTGAATATCTGCAAAACCAGATGCACAGAAATACCTAAAGGACTGAAATTGCTAGCCAACATTCCTTTCTGTTCCTGAAAGAAGGTGAAAGTGTATTTTCCATCTGACTGCAAAAGCCTAATATACCCACAGCACAAGTGGTATGGGGAAAACAAACACAGAAGAGTGCTGACCTAGCATCCAAAGCATCAAAACTTTCCAGAGTACCATTTCTAGAAAATACTCAAAAAGTACACTAAAGTTAGCAAAAAGTTTCCTTTTGCTCTGAGGGGAGATAAAAAACTAAACCTGATAAAGATGAGAAATACACCATTGTTAGCTTTTAAACACAAGGAAAACATTCATTGGTAGAAAAACACTTTGGCCTTTGGGCAGTTTTCAAGTGCAATAGTTATACTGTATGCAAACACTCCATGACAAAGGCACTGGAGACTTAACACCAAAACGGAGGGAGAGAAGGGGAAGGAAAAGACTGACTGATACAGACTGACTGCTGCAGGACTGTGCTTATAACCAGACACATAACTGTTTATGAGGGTTCACTCATTTGCCAAATACATATTCCTTGGATGCAATTCAGGTAAGTCTTAATAAAAAACAGGTTTTAAGCTTTCAGCAGCCAGATTATATCTCACAGGACACCTGACAATGAATCTGAATAAAGAGAAAAAAGGAAACGATGCTGGAAGTTAATCACCTGTACTTTAATTACTGTATTTTAAGATTCACTCTACATCACATTTTGTTTCTCAACAAGCATGTTCTCAGAAATATGGAGGGAGGGGTTGGCTAGAAGAGGCAGGGAAAGGGTTAATATTCAAGGCTATACCTGAGATAACATGGAAAGTCTTCTGATAAATGTTCTGCAACCCAGCTTCAGAAAGTGAGCTTGAAAAGGCTCCATGTTAGGCAAAGACTTCAAACGTGACCAGTGTAACAGACAATATTACAATGCAAAGTTTTGTAAGGTTTACCTTTCACTTCACTCCAGAGTAAGACTTGAACGCTTTGGGGAAGAAAAATATAAATGCCTCTTTCTGTCCAGGTCACCACACAGTGCTCACTGCAAGCAAAGCAGACACTAATGGAGCAACAGTCGACTGTGGTAAAATTAAAAAAAATAAGACATGCAGGGATGGCATTGGCTTAAGTACAGCAAGCAAAAAGTGAAACAGTTTAGCATGATATTTGGAAAATTCTCACACAAGAAGCCAAAGCTGGTAATATAAAATAGAAGAATATACAATTTTTTGAAGTCTACTTTGTCACTGGAAGTCATGCTGTCAAATACTCACGTCAAATACAGTAGCTTGGGGAAAGATAAAGATTGTGGAGAGCAGCTGGAACCAGTGTAATGAGGATCCTGCCTGTAAAGTGAAATTGTTATCCATTAAAAGCATTAACTACAAGAACATAAGTTTCTTTGTACAATATTCTTAACCCTGTAAAGACACAGTTGGCTTAAACAAACATACTCTTATGACAGCAGCATTCACTGGGGTCACACAGACACACCTGCAGAATCAACGTTTTGGCATTTTTGATAACTCATCTACTGGCTTTAGTTATTAGAGAAGAATGTATTAGGATAATAACTAGGATTAACATTTGACTGCAGTAGGAGTTTAATTTTCTCAGCATTCATGCAGTTCTTTCCAGCTCATCTGCAAGTCCCAAGCAAGTTTATCTGTGATAACATTCATGTTTCTACCTGAGAGTAACAACAGGAAGAGGTGGTGATGAGAGCAGCTGCTTGAACTGATGTGTGCTTTGCACTTCTCCATCAAAGTTCACCTCCCACATCCTTGAGCCAGGTCGAGCACAGTATATTAATGGCTGCTGATTCCCACTGTTTTTTCCAACAGGGAAGAAACATGCTCCAAATTCTCCATCTCTCTCTTTATTACCAATTTTCCAAAACTTCTCTCTAGTGGAAAAACAACATACTTGTTAAGGCAGTATTAAAAAAGGTTTTAATTAATTTTATGTTTTTCTTCAAGAGCAAAAATACCAAATTGCTTTTGGTGCTTAAAAAAAAAAAAAATCTGTAATGACTATTATAAAGTCTGCATGAAGTTTATAAAAGACAGGGTGCAGAAATATTCATTAGTTTAAATGAATGCTTAGACTACAAAGGTGGGTTTTTTTCAGCAGAACCAGTCAGTCAACCTGGTGATGGGAAGGTAATGGTGCAAACGTTCCCAGAAACCATTTCCAATTACATGAAAGATAAGATGGTGATTATGAAAAGTCAGCATGAATTTATAAAAGGGAAATCATGTTAACAGCCCTGTACAACAGAACAACTGCCTTGAGAGATGAGAGGAGAGCAACGGATGTTGTTTATCTTTACCTGACTAAGGCTTTTGACACTGCCCCTGCCAACATCTCCACAGACAAACTGAGGGAGCATGGGCTAGGTAAACAGACATCAAGGAATGCAATGTCCTGCCCATGGGAAGGAATAACCCCACACACCAGCAGAGGCCAGCTGGCTCCACAGTACAAGAGACAGCAATGCACTGGAGCAAACCCAGCAGTGGCCCACAAGGGACTGCAGCATCTGCCCTGTAAGAGGCTGAGAGAGCTGGGCTGCTCAGCCTGGAACAGAGGAGGCTCAGAGGGAACTCATCTGATCCCACATGTACAAATACCTGATGGGGGAGTAAAGAAGACAGAGCCAGACTGCTCTCAGTGATGCCCAGTGAACGGACAAGAGGCAACAGGCAAAAATGGAAATCCAGGAAATCCCATTTCAACATGAGAGGATTCTCTTTTTCTCCCATTCTTTGTTACTGTGAGGGTGGTGGAATGCTGGCAAAGGTTGCCCAGAGAGCTTGTGCAGTTTCCATCCTCAAAACCTAACTGGATACAGTCCCACAAAATCCACACTGACTCTGCTTTGAGCAGGAAAATGCGACTGCATGGTTTCCAGCTGTCATTTCAGAAACTGTGTGTGACTCTGTAACGTCCAGTACTTCACAAATAAAATACAACTTGCCTCTCAGTATCACACAAATAAGTGCGAGTAAGTGAAGATATGAGCAGCCTTCCATCCAAGTAATCAAGCTGAACAACCCGAGAATCTACAGTTGTTATAATCTGAACAGGAAACATGACAAAAGTAGCAGCAGCCTAAAGAAAGAAAAAAACACATACTGGTCTTCAGTTCAAAGTAAACACTATTTCATTAAGTTAAAATTGCAGAATTCAGAAGAGAATCATGTACGCTACGAATGCATAGCATAAGCACTTCCCTTCTTCTCTGTCCTTTACAAAACAAGGCTTCAATACTCAGAGGTACAAAAGTCTAAATCCTCCTTTTCCCAAAACATTACTGAAGATTTAAGAAAAAAAAAAAATCTTATTCCTGTAGCATCCTGACATTTCTTTATAGTGTTTTTTTTCTGTAACACTAAGAGAGGCTTTTTATTCTTGCCATTCTAGGCTTTGTGCTTTTTCTGCAATTCTCCCCACACATACTTTGAGCCAGCAAACAGTTTTATGCAAACAGACCTGAGGGCTTAACTGATACAAAAAACCAACTTTTATTGGATTTAGGTTGTTTATATAAACTCACTTTCTCTATTACCCTGCAGCAAATTACCCCAATACTATTTATCACACAAGTGTCTCAGTTTGCACTGGTGGCAAACACTCTCAGACTTCTTACGAATAAAACACTACTGGGAAGTGCACTCAGGTTTTCTAGAAGCCATTTGCCATTTTTGCCATCTTAAAGTTGTTCTCCTTGTTAGGAACGTAACAAAGTGAACTACATGAGAGATCCAACAATGCCATTCCTTTAACAGGCAGCCCTTAACCAGACCCATTTCTGTGGGCCTTGCCCTTCTCTCCTCTCCCTTTCTCTCTTTTCATAGCTGATTTTTCCCTCTTTCTGTAAATACAATGAACAATCTTGCTACATTTAAGCCAGTTTTCTATCAAAATCTTCCATGAGGGCTAGAAAGGACCTGGAGGAGCACAACGATTCCCAGGTTCTGCTCCTCTTTATGGACTAAAAGGAGAAGGAAAGGACCCAGTAGTGGCAAAACCTAAAGAACACTCAAGGGCTAGAAATCAGGCTGCTACCATTAACATGTTTGCCCTTTGCCCAAAATGTAATGGATGTAGGGTTGATGTTCACCTGCCATTTATTTTATCTAATCTCTATCTTTAAGAACGAGAGTATCCAGACAGGGACAAGCAAACTCTGAGTTTGGGACTGCCCCTTCTCAGACCATCAGCTGAGCTGAGGACTAAAACAAAAAGCTCAACCTGTAGCTGGACTCTTAAGGAATCCAGGCTCAGAAACACCAAGACCCATAACTTGGATACTTGTAAATTCCCAGCAGAAACAGCTCGTTCAGTTTTTAACTCTGAACATTTGAAAGCATTTTCCTGTTCCATTACTAAAATAGACAGAAGGAGGATGGGGAAAATTCATGTTGTCTCAAGAGACTAGTTCATCATCCCAATAGTCAAAGCTACCAGAACTTCATCAGCTGGCAAGTCCTGCCCAGTTCTACTTTACTAAAATAAACAAAAAGATTTCACACATCACCCCCTGTGGATTAATCTCAATCAAAGTATGCAACATTTTACCTTCCCTTGCTTGGATGTGTTAATCTTGATGGCTGATACTTTTCCCACATGATCTCCTACAAAAACTCGAAGGGCAGCAGTATCCCAACAGAGAGCTGTGACTTTTCTGCCCTTATGCTCAGAGGAAACATAAATCCGTTCTGGCTTCCCACGACGTTCCTGATTCAGCTCCCAGACTACTACAAGGCCTTGGCTACAACAATTTAAAAAAGAAAATGCAATTTGAGAATAAGTCTTGTAATATTTTACCAGTGATAAAGTTGCTTTTTTCCAAAGAAACAGAAAACACGAGCGAAGCAGCACAACCTCAGGGCAGGTTCTGTTGGGAGGCTGCATGCTTTCAAGAAGCATCTCACACTTAATTCTGAAGAAGTGTCCTTCGTTGCATTACAATGCTTCAGCAGCTTTGGAGGGTTAATCTCACAATTACTAGAATTGCTAGTGCAGATGAGGAAAAATATACTTAAGTTTAAATGGATTTAAAGCAATGTAAGTGGCATTAACTAGCAATGTCACTCTGCCAAGTTACTGAAGATGCTTCTTCTGATGCTGAAAGGTCTCAGAGAGACATTTATCATCATAACTTCACATGTATGAGCTCTCCCATAAATGTTCTGTTACAGAAATAACATTTATTCTGGAACAATTATTCCAGGAAAAAAAAAGTTAAGTAAACTGTCTGTGTAGAGAATCATTCTATAGGGCCCTCTATCAGTTAATTCCCTGGCCCCTCCAAGTTCTCAGCAGGCATCTAAGTCTGAAACTTAGAAGCTACTTAGAGATATTTATCCAGCACTCAGGTTTGTAGGTGCATCACTCACCTGGTGGCAACAGCAACATAGTCTTCATCATGCAAACAACAGGCCACCCGGGAAATGGCACCTTCCTGAAAGGAAATACGGGAGTGAGTGCAGGTAAAAGTTCTTCCTTTACTGCCTTTACCAATGTGCAGCTTAATTATCTTTAAGACATAAACCAGATTCATATCAGCAGATGCTACCACTCTCTTGTGATGTGGTTGGGTTTTGTTTGCAAGCACTGAGCTTTTGTTTGCAAGCACTGCATCCAAAAGGATGCAGCTGAAAACATGAGAACGTCAAGAGCAATGACTGCAGTGCGTTCTCCGATTTGGAAAACACAGAAGCATCAGTCTCCTGTCCTTGCACCTTTGGGAGTTGTTTTGCCAGAACTGAGATGCTCCCAACCTTGAAAAAATGGATGCATTCATGTTACACTGGAAGCACCAGTGGCTCCCAGGAAACAACATCTGCTGTAGAAGCAGCAATCCCTGTTCCATCATCTCTTCCAGCAAAAGCTGGTCAGCCTATCTTCTCTTCGCTTATTCCAGTATATTGTGGTTTAGACATTCAAAGAACGGGACTTATCTACATGTGAGTTTTTCTGGTTTCATATTCAAAGTTTTCTTCTAATTCTAAAGTATTCAGGCGACTTTGTTGCTGCTGTTAAAAATAAGAATTTGAAAAACAAATGTCTTAGGTAATTTCTTTCACACCTAATGAAATCTATTACACCACACACTCTGGTAATACACTCCAGAACCACAATCTATTTTAAACAGAGCAGCAACATTAATTTAATGTCTCTTTCCTAGCCACATTTTCATAAATCTTCCTTTAGCGTTCTTTACTCTTACCTTATGAGTGAGAAAGAGTCTTTGCTTCCAACCATCTTTCTGGATAAGGTTCAGCCCTCCTCCTGAAGTACCCAGAGCCAGCCATCTCTTCGACACATCTATACACGTGCACTGAAGGAATAAAAATCATAATGCACAACCTGCCTGCTGGTAAGTTCTAATCACAGCATTTTTTTTTCTTGTATTATTATTTCTTTAAAGGCTTCAGTGTTTGCCAGCTGTGTGCACCCTCCTGAAACACGGGCAGCAAGGACATTAAAATGGTACATCCTGCAATTGGAGCAAACAGTGTAAGGCAGCAACCACATCAGGCTGTGTTATGAACCCCACAGCTGCATCAGAAAACACACAAAGAGTAATAGCCTCCTTTGTCTTCACTTTTTCTTCAAAAAGTGGTCCCTCCTATAAGATAGAATGCACACCCCCAAAAACAATGAGTCCTATGGTTTAATCACATAATTAACCAAATAAGGTCATTATTTGAATTTAAAAAAAACAAAACAAAACAAACCCAACAATCACCACAAACTCACCTTCAGACGACTGGAATCCAGTCTGAGTGCAGAAAGCAATGGATCCAAACATTCCAACTCTGCCAACACATGATTGTAAGAGTCTGGAATTACTGGCACAGAGGCCATTGATATACACAACTAGTGCTGCTCACTCATGGGTATGTTATAGCTTCAGTTTTTAGCTGTATCTGCCAAAAATAAAGTTCTTGATTAGTTCATGTACTTAAAGAAACACTGAATGTTTTCCCACTCAAAAATCATCAGGTTTCAGTTTTTCAAAAAGGCCCAAGGGCTGCAAAATTAAATCTCTGCTTCATTTATGAGAAATTTTTGTTCATTTCAGATACACACTTACAAAAAACCTAAAACTGTATTTACAGCCACCTGTGAAACAAGTTCTAACTAGGGAAAAAGCCTTGATTTATAGAAAAACACACTTCCCCTCACAGCACGCACCCTTGACTTGAAGTTAAGTTTTTCAAGGAAAACGTTTAGCATTTGTATTTTACACCTACATCATCTTCTCCCTCAAAACTAAATTTAAGGAGTATTATCCTCAACTAATACCAAATTTAGAAATACCTGCATTTGTGCACTTTGATACAACTATAAACTATTTTCTCCGTGGTTCCTCTTTTCCACCATACAGGAGACGTACGCAGAGTGAAACCCGGTGACTGAATACCTATCAAAGGTGCAACCTCATATATTTTTTTCTAAAGGGCACATACTTTAAAAATAATCACTTGTTGAGTTTAAAGTTGCACGTTGCTTAACAAAACCCCAAACTTGTTACACCGCATACCCAAGCTCCTGAATTTCTAAGTAACGTTTAATGTGCAATCCCATAAATTAAGTAACTCCCTCCCAGAAAAGCCTGTCATGTGGAACCTCACGTTTCCTTACGAGAAAAGTGAACGTTCTCACCAGGAACTAGGAAAAGGGAAGAGACGCACTTAACCAGAGAAACTGAAAGTTACTTCTTCAAAATTCTCAAGACATCTTAAAAGCCATAATTGTCACTTTTACCCTCTCGATTCTCTCCCCTACTCGGCTGCTGGGGAGGGCTGTGCGCCCACGAGTTACCGGCTGGGGCTGAACCACCACAAGGGTGTTACTTTCTCTCCGACACACGGAGCGAGGCGAAGGACCGCAAGAGCCGAGAGGGAACCCCCCAGCTCCTCCCGGGACCGCGGGCAGGGCAGGGCAGGGGCGGGAGCCGAGAGCCCCGAGGGGGCCGCGGCACAGACCCCCTGACCCCTTACCGCGCGGGGCGGCGCCGGCGCGGGGAGACGTTCACCCAGGAAGCACCGCCCGGCCCCTGGCCCGCGGTGCCCTCTGTCTCTGTCCCTGTCCCTGTCCCGGTCCCTCACCGCTCTCCCGCTCTCCCGGTCCCTCTCCCGCCGCCACCTCCAGGATCCGCGGTCACGTGACGCGCGGGAGGGCGGGGCGGGAGACGGGCGCGCGCCCGCCCGGCGCTGCGTCACGCGGCGCGCGCGGGACGAGGAGGAGGGGGAGGGGGGAGGAGGAGGAGGAAGCCGCGTCAGGCGCGCGCCCGCCCCTGCCCCCGCGGCCACGTGACGCCGTGACGCGCGCGCCGCCCCTCCTCCCTCCCTCCCGCCGCGCGGGCCGGGCCGGGGACGCCCCTCCCCCGCAGCGCGGCCGCGCCGCCGCCGACCGAGAGCGCAGCGGGAACGGGGCCGCCGGGGCTCGACGGCCAGCGACGAGCGGGACTACGGGTGACGGCGAGGGACGGGCCGGGCACGGGGGAGGAGGGGGGGATGGCGACCGTGCCGCTGTTGCCGCCGCGTCACTGCCCCCTCCGCCCGCCGCCGCCGCCATGGCGACGGGGGGAGCGGCCGCCACGTGACCGGGGCGGGGGGCCGGGAGGGGCGCGCGCGCCACGTGACCTACGGGCCCGCGCGGTGACGGCGCCGCTCGCTCGTCACGTGGCGCGGGCCCCGCCCCCGGCGCCCCGCGGCCCGTTCCGGTCACGTGCCCGCCCCGCCCGCCCCATGGCCCCGGCGGCGGCCGCGGCCCGACCCCGTAGCGCCGCTGCCGCCCGGAGCACCCGGCACCGCCCGGAGCAGCGCCCGCACCGCCCGCACGGTAAGAGCCGCCGCCGCGGGGACAGGGGGAACGCGGCGCCCGGGGACGACGGCGGGGCCCGATCCGCCTCCCCACCGCGCCGCCCCGGCTCCGCCGAGTCCGTCCCCGGGGGCGGCGGGGCCGCGGCGCGGTGGCCTTTGGCCTCCCGCGCTCCCTCCATGCCCGGCGAGCGTGTGGCGAGGCCGCGGCTGCCGTGAGGGGAGGGACGAGCGGGGCGGCGGCGCGGCCGGTGTGCGCCCCCCGGGGCCGGGGGGCGGCGGGGAGGTGACAGCGCCGCGCCGGCGGCATCGCGGACACCGGGCTGTGCTCCGGGACTTGGCCCCGGGGCCGGCGGCGCACAAAGAGGTGCCCTGGCGGTGCCTTCCCCGCCGGCTCCCGGGGCACCCGAGGGAGTGCCACCCGGGCACCGTGCGGTGCTCGAGGCTCGGGATGACATCCCACCCGGAGCGTGGAGGGGCGAGTCGGGTAAGGCCGGGCTGGCCCTTAGGCGGGCTCAGGAACGCGGATCCCCCTGCCGTGACCGGGACAAGCGGCACAGCTGACATCCTCCGTCCAGCTGGGCTGTGTCCCGCTGACAGGACCTCGCTGCCCCTCGGGTGCTGCTGAGCTGCTCCCGGCCCCTCGCGGAGGCCCCTGGGCCGTCCCCAGGCCCGGCTGCATCCATCCATCTATCCATCCATCTATCCATCTATCTGCGCCTGTCTGTTGGCACAGATATTCCGTGATTCTGCGGTTCCCTGTGGGGAGCAGAGGCCCACGAGCAAGGTCTGCATCAGATCTGCCAGAGCTCACCTGTCAGCCCGTGCCCACCCTGACCAAGTCAGGGTTATTAAAATGCGTAAACATTTCCTTTATCTCTGTTCAGAACTCGGCAAAACCACATGGGAGGAGACTGCAGTGAAATGCTGGTAATGGAGAGCGGTCAGAACAGGTGTTGTAACGAACAGAGATGAGAGGTACCTAGTTGTAAAAGTGGTTGGGAAGAGTCACTGTGATAGAGGAAGGATAGCTATGGGAATTTGACATTATTTCCAGGAGCTGTGGTTGCTCCCACAGAGCTAAGAGGGGAAGGCTTATAGGTGGGTAAGCAAACAGAACCTTTTTTTTTGGTCTGTGCCAACACTAAGCTTCCTGATACACCTTGCCAATCGTAAACTGCAGCTGCAACTAACGTCCTCAAGACAGGCTTGATGGTGAGCCACACCTCGTGGGTTAGGGCTGCTGATTGATCCAAGTGCTTTCAGAACTATTGACCATCAGTTCAAAAGGTCTGATGCTGGAGAATTTAAAATAAACCATCTGATCTCCCTATTCTGGAAGATACTTGAACCACAGAAAGGTCTGTCTAATGCTGCAGCAGATTAAAATTATCACTTAAAGCCGTTAAATAACAGCATTTCTCTGCATGCATGTTGCAGCCCTTGCCCCTCTGAGCAGCAGTGTCATCATCCGCAGTACTGATTCCTGGGAACTTCCGTTGTTAAATGTAGGGGTTATGAGATTTGGGCAGGCACAAGTGGAGCATTGATGGCTCTCACCCTGCTGCACAGTAAGCCTTATATGTCCAAAAAAAAAGGAAAATGAGTTGTGCACTGTGTGTGCTTAGCGAGGACGTAGCCTTCCCTGTAGGAGACCATCCTCACGCAAGATTTCTATTTTAGAATTTAGTACTTCTTGTAACAAGAAGCCATTTTGTTTTCATTAGTGACAGACGGTAGCCTTCCTAAATCCTGCTTATTAATAGGAGGTTTTTTATTCTTTCTGATGTACTGTTAAAAAGACAGCTCAGGGTTTTCTCCATTTTGGGTAATGCTTGCTGTGCTCGGGAGTTGTATCATCCCACTTCCACCGTAAATTATTGCAGGAAAAAGGAAGCACAGCAATGACAGAAAGAACAGCAGTGAGCCAGTGTGCTCACCCTCCCAGAAGGTGGAATGAGCCACTTGTGGGATAATTGTGTGCTCACAGATTGCACACTGCAGGGTACTGTGCTAGAATGGCTGTGAAGGAGAAGTTGGTAGCTGCTAATCCTTTGCTTCTGTAGTTGAAAGACTGGTTGTAGGTGGGTGAAATGGCATGGTAGGAAAGCAAAGCAACTGCCATGAGAATGAGCCTGACTATGGAAATGCTTTCCTTTTGCTTGCTGCTCAGTGCAGGTTTAATTCCTTCTGCATTCTGTGGCTTTGGCTCCACTGCACTGGATAATAATGACCTTAAAGGACTGTAAAGTAACAAAGGGAGAAAAATGTCAAAATCCCTAATCTTGCATATGTTGAGGTGTCCATTCTGTTAAAGTCTGTGGCCAGCTGCCCTTTTCCAGTAAGGATAAGGTGGAGATGAGAGACTGCAGACCTGCAACAGGAAACTACATAAAAGGGCTGTGTGAATAGCACTGAAAGGGAATAATGCTGCTGGGGAGACTGTAATGGATAATGCCACGGAACACTCCTGAAATCATGCCATGCAGTTTTCTTTGAGAAAGAAGTATTAGCAGGGCTGCTCTGAATGTGGCACAGCGCGTTCTAGTGACTGCTGCAGTGGTGCTGATGTGAAACCCCACATTCAGCTCAGCATCACTGAACCCTTTGGCAAAGCTTTGGATGGCTGGAATGGTGAAGGAGCAAAGCTGAAGTGCAGAGCCCTTTTGCCGTGAACTCTTTCCATTCAGTATTTTACTTAAATCATTTGGATGTCAGCTTGTAAGACTTCTGCTGAAGAGAATGCTGCTGTCCAGATTGTCAGAGTAAAATATCCTGTCTTGCTGCTGGCATTTTTTTTTTAAAGAAAATTAGAAGCATGTGAACTTAAATGCTTAGAATTACCATTTTGTGATACCTACTAGTAGTGTGATAGCTGATGCAGGTTGCAATCTTAAGTTTGGCGTGGGCCCCAGCAAATACTACAGGTATTCTAAAACATATGAAACGTGCATATCAGCATGGGAAAATACTACTTTGCATATCAGTAGTGAAGTCTGTGATAGACAAGATACAGCAATTGGACATACTAAACATTTTCAGCAAACTTACCAAAGATGTACGTTTCTGATGGGTGTACAGCAGTATGTAGACAGAGTGCAGTAATATGTGCAGTGTCCTTAATCTCCTGAGAACTGGTGAACCTGGAGAGAGCAGCGGTAGTGACTGCTGGGGAGAACAGTGCAGCAAGTATCAAAAGGCTTGTTGGTGTGAGACTGGTGAAAAATTATCACAGTGCTGTAGTATGTACAACATTAGTCCCTCGGACTTTTGGGGGAGAAGGGTAGGAAACTAGCCAGCTGCAATCAAATGTACAAAACATTGTTCAAGCCTTGGGCAAAACCCACCACAGTAAGAACAGCAGTGTCACCAGCCTGGCCTGCCTTGTCTTTAGCACAGCGACCTGAAAATCCACGATTTTTCACATTACCTTGTATCTTTCCCAATTCTGAAATGACTTAGCATCTGCCATTCCCATTGAAGAAGGGAATTGCTGCCAGTACCAGAAGAGATTTGGAATTTATGAATTTGTTTAGCTTCAATATTCTTCTGAACTTGAAAAACCAGTAAAGGAATATTAAACCACAAAAATTGAGTTATCAGTTTAAATGTAAGATTTGTGGGCCTTTTGTTGGAGCAAAAGCAGTATCAGCATATAATTGCATACATTATTTAGTTAGCTGGGAGTACTTTGTTTAAACAAATTTGCTGATTGTACTGACAGAGGGAAGTGTGTTTATCTGAAATGTTTCCAAAATTTGTGTGCATGAACAAGTAAATGTGGATGTAATACTTCAGTATACATAGTAGTAGCAAAGACCTAGAGCAAAAATAATTATAAATAATCAGCTCAATTCTATGCTTTTAATAGCTCATTGCAGCCACAATGGCAACATCATCTGAAGAAGTGTTACTGATTGTAAAGAAGGTACGTCAGAAGAAGCAGGATGGAGCTCTGTACCTCATGGCTGAACGGATAGCGTGGGCACCTGAAGGCAAAGACCGCTTCACAGTCAGCCATATGTATGCAGACATAAAATGTAAGTCAGTACTTCTCCTGTTCCAGCTTCAGTAAGCAGGATTTCGACCAATATTTAAAGATAACCCAAAGCTCATGTGCCATATGACACGAGATACAGGGAGGGAGGTTGCAGAGTAGCTTTGACCAGGCTGCTCTGTGTAGCAGCAGAGATCAGGACTGCGGTGAAGTATCACCAGTCTAAGGATGCTACTGCAGAACTTCTGTAGTC